TTTTTTTTTTACTAGGATAAGAATGCTTTTAAAAACATATGCACCTGAAAAAGGTTACAGTACAATCGTTGAAAAAAAAACAAAACCCAGCATTATATTGGATCCTATAGATTTAAACCAAGTGGAAAACTTACCATTGAAGTTGACAGCGCGGATGTGGTTGAGTAGCTCTTTACCATCGATATTGTTGGCCATCCGTGGACAGAGGCCTGGGTATCCGTAGCAGAGCTCCCGGTGCATGTGGTGCAGAGCGTGGGCCATGGCATACACTGCATCCATCACAAACTGAACCTTTCCCTCTTGTTCATAACTGGAGTCACGGCCAACTTTTTCTAAACCTGAACAAGAAGAAGAAAAGATGTGCTTAAAAGGGAGAGAGGAATATTAGAAGTAAGATAAAGCACATTAACTCCCAGGGGACTCGTTTTAGGTAACAATCAAGGTATGGAAATTCATAGCAACATACATTCCACCTGCGTCTACCTCTCACAACAGATCAGCGGGGAGCTATAGGGAAAAACTTGTGTGCAATGATATAAAGTTACAGCATACAGAAGTAGATTTCTTTAGGCCATGTATCATCCATCACCCCACATGAACTGAAAAAAGGAATCATATGCTTCAGGTACGAGATGCTACGGTTGTGTGGTGAATGGCATTTGATGCTTTGGGTAAATGTGAAACTTATTCATGGCCTTAAATGACTTTATGATAATCATTCTGCAGTCTCAGCCTTGAGTCTGTTCTAATAGGGAAGCCTGGCACCTGACCTGTATAGCCAGTCGTGTGCCTACTGTCGTCTTCACAGTGCCAGGCCATCACCATTTGTCACAGCTTTTGCTTCTGTTTGTGCTTTGTCTTCTGTATAGCCCATTTATGTCCTACTATCATATTCCATGTACACCATAAAAAAGCCAATAGTCAAGTGGTGACAGAAAAATAGAAATGTATAATGCAGGTGAAACAAGATCTACAATAATGGCACCAAAGCACGTAGAGGAAAGTGGGCAGCGGTTGGCTCCAGAAGGACTGAAGAAAGAGATGAAAGAAAGACAACAGGTAAGAAATAAAACGAAAAAGAGAGTTTAGATGAAGAGAAACTTTAAAGGAATGAAGAGAGACCAAATGAGAGATGAAATCTTTGTGCAAGACAGGTTGACCAGTAGACAGGCAACAGGGCACTCAGCATGACAATGACAAATAACTCCTCTCAGTCCATTCTCGCCCTGGTAGCAAAGAAAGAACAACATGTTCCTTCTTTACATCTTCTGAACCACTGATAATGGCATTTCTGTGTATACAGGAAAGGCAAGAAAGTGTCTGGTGGGGACAAAATAGACTTTATCCTCTTTCCGACTAGTCACACAACCATGTGTTGAGCCTTGACATGTTTAATTTACTTATAAGTCTCTACTTTTAGCTTCACATACAGTTATTAGTCTTCAGTGTATACTACCATTTAGCTCTGCTTTCTGAGCTTATCTTACTGTTGCAGCCTTATTAGTTACTGCAGATTAATGTTTAGGTTCATAAGCTGCTGATGAATATTTGAATACTTACATCTGGTCTTTATGCTTGCATGCATGTACAAAATACATGCATGCATACAATCCCTGCCCTGACATAAATATGTGCCAATGCTCAAAAGCATGCAAATGGTCTCCCAACTGCATTTTCTTTGAGCGGATTTTATGTAATGACTCATTAGCATAATGAGCTAATGAAAAAAGAAGAGAGTGAAAACCTCCTTGATGCATTAAGATGAAAATCAGTAATTGAGTGTAACATTCATTTTCTCTGTTTTCATCAAAAAGTTCAAAGAGTGGAACCACATAACATCCTACGTTCATTATCTTCCTTTCTCGTACGATATCTGACTTTATGTGATATATTCTTTGTTCTTGTTTCTCTATCCTTATCTCTCGCTTCGACCACATTCTCTCATATTCTCTCTTTCTGTCCTACCCCTCCGTTTGGTTACTAAATCTACTGCATCTATCTTGGCTATGTTCACTCTTTTTTTTCCTTTTCTTTTTTTCTTTAAAAGCAGCAGTCACCTTCAGGCAACACAAACCGAATCAAAACCCATCTGGGCTGAGCTGAATTAACAAGACCAGAGGCACCCAGAATCAATATGAGCATCCATAAGGAATTAATGGGGTCCCCTGAATAAAATCCAATCCACAGTTATGGAAGGCTGTAGGGTGCTTTGTATGCATGTCCTTATTCGTGTGTTTGTTGGTGCCTGTGGTGATGGGTAAGAACCCCAGCAGGAAATTAGTTAGCATTTTCTCCGGGCCACTGTGGTCCAGCCATACAGCTGATCACAATGCTGGCCTAAGAGTTGAACTTTGATAGTAAACAGGAGCACTGTAATGTGTGCATATGTGTGGAGAGAGGAAAAAGACAGAGAACAAAGTACGCAGAAAGTACAAGTCTCTATCTTTCAACTGTAACGAAATTCTGTTCTTTTTTGATCCTGCAAAGAGGGCTAACACAATACTTTTTTTTTTCTGCAGCACCCTGTTTTCTGTTACCTGTTTGGACACTCTCCCTCATGCTGAGGCAACTATTCAAACCTGTGGGTATTTTTTTCATGACCTGTACACTGCTGGGTGGAGGAGGGTGCTTTCGGCAATATTGATTTTGTGTGTATATACGATGATGATCCGCCCGGCTTGAAAAAAATGCACATGTGGACAACTACCTGCCTGAGGTGTCAGACTGAAACTGGGGGTAAAAACCCACTGAGTTATTTCCTAAAAGGTATGGGGGAAAAAAGGAAAAAAAAAAACAACTTGTTGCTCAGAGCTGGCAGATATGCTGTTATGTGTATTACTGCCCTTAATTTGACATTTCATTAGAAAAGCAGCTGCACAAATCACATAACCTTTATTTATCCACAAAAGCATTCACCTTTTGGCCAACAACCTGCTCAACATTCATAAATACACACATTCACAGCTCAGTAGTCACTGAAAGAGAAGAGAGCTTTTCTCATTAGCATCTCAAATTCTGGCCACAAGCCCAGTTTTTGAATCTCACAGCCAGAGCTACAGTCCTGTGCAATAGTCCTGAGTCACCCCTCATTTCTTTATATTTTGCTTCTAAAGAGTCAGACGTTCTTGTAATTTTGAAGTGAACAATGTTTCTCCAGGCTTTCTGTCTGCCTTTCAACACTTTTCTTTGGACATTAGCTCTTTGTTTAGTCCAGTCCTTGTATTTTACCATTGTTAGAGGAATATATGTTTTTTGTTTCCTGAACCACTTAACAATGTTCTATGAGGACAAAAAGAATCCCAAACTTAAAAGATGAACCAGCGTTGTGTCTACACATCAGGCAATGAATGACGAACCAGTTTAAATCGTATACTTAGGCACAGCCTGTTGCAAAAAGTATCTACAGCGATCAAGAGTATCTGAAAGATCCAGTAACAATCTGGCACAGGACCTGAGAGATGCATCTGGCCCTCAGATCCATCTGCTGTTTACTGAAGCTTCATCAAGAATGGTTTCAGTCAAAGGGTGGCTGTCAAGAAGCCAAGTACCTAGTACCATCAGGTTTTGATCCACCATGCAATATCATCTTGATCTTAAACACACTGCCAGTCATGGACACGTACACAGAAAAACACACAATTGAACATTGCCAGTCATGGATTGGCCTCCCTAGAGTCTGGACATCAACATTATTAAAGCAATGTGGGATTATCTTGACGGAACGGAACAAAAAGGAGCCAACACCTGGAGAATGTCCTTAGGACTTTGAATGTCCTTCAGGAATCCTGGCGAATTATTTCTGAAGACTAAAGAAATGACAAGAAAGCTGACTTACTGAGTTCAAGCTGTGTTAACAAATAAATGTAGTCATACCAAATCTCAACTTTCAAGCTTGTTAGAATTGCATGCATGTTTGAACATGTTTCAATAAATCATTGCACCTATTTCCTATTTCCCAATTTCTTTTGCTGATTTCCCTTTCATTTTGTTTGCTAAAAGAATATTTACAAATCACATTTGATTGGTGTCAGGCTAGTATGCATCAAACTATACTACTAAAACCCAAAAGTTTCTTAGAGCTTTTAAAGTCTTGTCTTGCCCTGAGGTTACTCTGGTAACAGCCTCTGTAATGTGACTGATTCTCGTAAGCTCACTTGAATCCTGATGTGTGCAGCAGGGTGAGGTACACCACATTCAACTGACTGTGATGTCTGTGAAAACAAAACCCAAAAAGAAAAGTGCAGCAAGGTGAAACAAATGTATCTGTGTGGCTAAGTGATGTGATGGGAGTCCATTTATTGTTCTTGTAACCAAATTCAAGGAAATTAGAACAGAACAGAGTGAAAATTGATTCAACATTAAATAGAAACACTGTAAGTTAAAACCCGATTGTATTTTATCCACTTATACCCACCAGGTAAAAAGTACAAAAAAAAGTATATCATTTAAATTACAGGCTGACATACAGTGTATGGCCCAGGTACACACAACACCTAGAGAAGCTGCTCAGGCATGGAAGCCCATGCTATGAGAAGTGTGTGGTGCATAGTTTGTGTGCTGATGTTAATGCCAGGAGAAGTCTGGAACTCTACAGTCAATCAGCAGTTCATATAATGGAGTCCATATAGTGTAAGTAAGCACTTTGTGTGGGTCAGGTATAGAATTTTGATAATTATCGGGGCGGGGTTTTGTTGTTGTTGTTGTTGTTGTTGTTGTTGTTTGAATATTCACTCCCCATACTGCACATATTCAATTTTTTTAGGTTTATTTACTATTCTTAACATTTCCTCAGCCAGCAAGGAGTGCAGAAAGGTGAATATGTTCAGCCATAGTGCATCAAGATGACTTTAAGCAAAGGAAAGACAGACAGAAATGCCATGTTTTATTCATTCCATTAATCTCATTGGTGTAGTGAAAAGCTGAATCACTCATTAAGATGGTTGGCAAGCACATAAACAGCAACGTGTATACATGCACAGGAATGCAAAAAAGAAAGAATAGAGTCAAGCGCCTTTAGAACTGGTCAGCTGTGAGATACAGTTAAGAAACCTGTGTTTCTAAGAAGAGTGCATTTTGAAATATACCTAGACAGCCTCCCAAGTCAACAAAAGTACCTTGAGCTGTCTAACGTTCCACCATAATTACAGATCTAATTATGCTAATAGTCTACAAACAAAGCTAAACAAGACATTAATTAGTAAGCCCTTTCACAGCAACATACCTTTAAATAACACGTCTGGCAGTGGTGCACTGAAAGTACATCTTTTTAGCAACAGTTGTGCAGCTCTTAGAAAACAAACTGTGGTCAGTGACCATTCACAAGAAAGAAGAAAGACAC